GGTGCTCTTGTGCTGCCTGTCCACCCGCACTGCCCATACCCTCACACTGCCTGTGATCTCCTCACAGTCCCAGCAGCCCAGCCGCTGGAGTTCGCCCAGTTCCCCTTCTACCTGAGCGGGCTGCGTCGCACATCTGACTTTGTGGAGGCGATTGAGAGCGTTCGGGCCATCTGCCAGGAGGCTGCGCAGCGCCACGGGGTGCTGAGCTACCCCAGCGGCTACCCCTTCCTCTTCTGGGAGCAGTACATCGGCCTGCGGCACTGGTTCCTGCTGGCCATCAGCATCCTGCTGGCCTGCACCTTCCTCGTCTGTGCCTTGCTGCTGCTCAACCCCTGGACCGCCGGCATCATCGTGAGTACGCACCCTGATGCACCGGGATGGGCCTGATGGGTGGGGACGGGGACATCCAGCCTTTCTCCCGTCCTGCTGAGTGGCCCTGGGTTCCTGCTTCATGGGAATTGTGTGATGGAGTGGCCAGGGAGGGAAGGGATGCCCATATGAGGGTGGCAGTGGGTGGGGGACTCCTGTATGGAGGGATCAGTTACAGCATTGATGAAGAGAACAGGGGGCCCTGGATACATCCATGCAGAAGAGAGTGACAGGAACACCCATATGGAGGTGGCAGTTGCTTGGGGAGCCGCATGGAGTGATCAGGGAACGCGTTATGATGGGAATGTGTATAGTGGGTAGGGGTTTGATGACATCCATGCAGAGCAGGGTGAGGGCTACCCCAGAAGATGGGACAGAGGGACACTGCAAATAGAGGGAAAAGGGTCAGTGAGGTGAGGCTGCTCTATACGGAGTAGGGCTAGGCTTGCCAGGGATGGGGGACAGCCAATCAAAGCCGTCTCTCATTGATCCCATCACCCTCCAGGTCTCCATCCTGGCCATGATTGCTGTGGAATTGTTTGGCATCATGGGGCTGATGGGCATCAAGCTGAGCGCCATCCCTGTGGTCATCCTCATTGCCTCGGTGGGCATCGGTGTGGAGTTTACTGTCCACGTGGCTCTGGTGAGTACAGGCTGATGCCAGTTCCCACTCCCTGGCACCCTCTCCCGCTTGGCCATGTGCTAATGGGTGGCCCATCATGGGTTGCACACGGGGACAGTCCTGCATGACATTTCCATCCCACTCAGGGCTTCCTGACAGCTGCAGGGAGCAGGAACGTGCGCTCGGCCGCAGCACTGGAGCACACTTTTGCGCCTGTGATGGATGGTGCTGTCTCCACCCTCCTGGGTGTCCTCATGCTGGCTGGCTCTGAGTTCGATTTCATCATGAGGTGAGCACTGAAGAAGGGTAAATCAGCCACGTGCTGCCCTACAAGAACTTTGGCAGTGGGGGCTGGTGGGTGTGGCAGTCCCCCCTGTCTGGTATTGGGGATGTGGGGTAGCTGGTGAGGACATCTTGCTGGGGACTGCCATTCCACCTTGCCTGGAGGCTGGGGAGACATGGGAGGGCCAGGGGGTGTGGAGTGGGAAGCCATGTTTGCGATGGGAAAGGCTCATGATGGCTGTGCCTGCTTACCCCATGTGCCTATGGCCCCCTCAGGTATTTCTTTGCGGTGCTGACCATCCTGACGCTGCTGGGGCTGCTCAATGGGCTGGTGCTGCTGCCCGTGCTGCTCTCTGTCATCGGGCCACCCCCTGAGGTACGAGACCCCTCCATCCCTCCTCTCCCTTATCCTCTCCAGCCCTGTATCCTGTCTCTCCATCCCGCATTGCCCCTCTCCATGCCCACCTTTCACCCTTTATCCATCTTTGCCTTGTCAAAACCACCTCAGTCCGTCCTTTGCCCTGTACCATCTCTCTTTTACTTCATCCTTTCTCTAACCCATATCCTACTTGCCCCATACCTACCTGACTTTGTTCCTGCTCCATTCCACACACAACTTTCCCCACCCCTCTCTGACCCATTCGATCCCATCCCTGCTTCACCTGGCATCACCCACATCCCCATCCTCACATCAACCCTTACTCCCTACTTCTCCATACTCCTCTGTCCCTGGCTCCTCTGACCTGTGTTCTCTCCCCAGGCATCCCTGGTGGATAATGGCCCCGGCCTACCCCCACCAGAGTCGATACCCCCATGTCTGGGCCCTGGGGGACTGTACGTCCGGCGCGCTCCAGCCTGGCCCGCCACCTTCCCTGAGCCCTCTGACACGGAGCACTACACGGAGAGCGTGGGGCCAGGCAGCCCACGGGGACCCTTCGTTGTGCCTCCTGCCCCAGCACACATCCTACTGGAGGCTGGCAAGGACCCCAGCTTCCCCCGTATCACTGTGAGTGTCTGTACCCACTGTGGCATTGCCAACTCCCCTGCAGCCCCAGGGAGAAGGTCATTGATAGAGCTGGGGGATGGGGGCTGGTGGTGTTGCCAGAGGGATGCTCAATATGACTGGGGACCCTCATGCTTCATGCTCCCCCTCCAGGTGCTGAAGCCCTACAAGGACAGCCTGGAGGCTCAGGGGAAGAAAGAGGCGTCTGGCCCTCAGCCTGCAGCCCCCCTGCCCTTCGGGGAGCCGTGCACCACGCTGCCCCGAGATCCCCCTCCGCCCTGCCCAGCGGGCACCCGGCCAGCGCCCCCCGCTGCCCTGCCCACCTACAGCACCCACCTGCAGGGTCCTGCCGGCAGCTACACCACCGTCACGGCCACCGCGTCGGTGACAGTGGCCCTGCACCCCTCACTGCCCGGCTCCTACCCCACCTTCAGCCCTGAGGGCTTCACCAGCGGCGAGCGGGACTGCCTGGACGAGCCCAGCACCAGCGGCGCCGCTGTGCCCGGCACCTTTGAGATGCAGAACATGGGACACCACCACGGGGCAGGTGCCTGGCGCTAGGTGAGCTTGGGGACACCCTACCCAGGGCTGGGCATGGCAGTGTGGGGTGTGAGGTGGGTGTGGAGGGACCCAGCTGACCCCCAGATCTCTCTCCCTGCAGATTGCTGGTTCCTGGGCAGAGCATCTCCCCAGCACCCAGTGGGCACAGGAGGGTGCAGAGCGGGGTCACCCGTGTCGTGCTGCTAATCGCCGGAGCGGTCTTGGCCGAGGAGGACTGGCCCCCTGCACCCTGCACGGGGCTTGGTAGGGCAGGCTGGCACTTCTATGCAAGCTGTGTGCAGGCCAGGCCGTGCCCGTGCGTCCCTCACCCGAGGCTGTACCGTTGGTGCCGTGTCCCATCACCCAGGGCTTGGGGTTATCCTGCCCTGGACTTATTGTCCCCCAGAAATGGAAGCACTAACTCCCCCCTCTGTTTCTGGAGCTGCTGGCAAGGTGGACTCGGTGCCATGCCAGCTCCCCCTCTGTGGGGTCACTGCCTGCTCCCCATCACCTCCTCCTGGGACCACCCATCCCAGGCCATGAGCTGGGGTACCCCAACAGGGTGCCCTGATGCCCCCTGTACTGATAAGGGGGCAGCCCCAGAGCCAGCTATGCCCTGGCATGCCATGGGCAAGGCCTAGGGTGGGCACCCCCACCTTTATTTATTGCAAAGGGAAACTATCTATAGAGAGATATATATTTTTAAGCTTATTTTAAAAGATTTATTTCTCAGCCTACAGCCTCACCCGGCTGCCCAGAGTGCAGGCAGGGAGCGGGCAGACCCTTTGCCCAGTGCAGGGCTGCCCACTGGAGGCAGCAGGAGCCTGGGGGCACAGACCTGGTTCATGCCCCCACTCCATGGGCAGCTCACCCCTTCCAACATGCTAGTCCGTGCCTCAGTTTCCCCAGTGGCAAGTATGGAAAGGCTGGAGATCATGGATGTGCCACAGTGGAGAAAGGGAGCCTGCTGCTCCCCAGCACACAGGCAGGGTTTTGGAAGGGGGAGATCCTTGGAGTGGTCCTTGCTGTGCCAAGCCCCTGAGCTGTCCCACGACCACAGCCCCTGTGTCACACTTGTGCTCTGTCCAGGGGATGGCACAGGCTTGAGCACGCACAGGGTGCTGCACGCTGACGTGGGCTCCCATGGTGCCACCAGGCATATCTTGCTGGGAAACGGTATTTCTTACCATGTCCCCGTGCAACGGGGCTGTCCCTGCAGCCAGCCCCTGTCCCCATCGCTGTCCCCGTCCCCATCCCGGGCACCGTCCACGCCGTTACCCAGCACTTTAACTCCAGCGGTGTTTGCTGTGCCTGCGGCCCCAGGCCCCCCGACACTGCCACTGAGCAGGGGTGGCCTTGGGGACCCTGTCCCCGTGCCAGGCGTGGGCACGGCGGGCAGTCCCCTCCCCAAACACGCCATCTAAGTTATTTATATCAAAGAGAGCAAAGGTTTATTTTTGTAGTTTGTACAGGCGGTAGTGGGGACTGAAGGTTTATTTTTAAAGAGTAAATATATATATTATATATAAATTACCTGCTGTGTCCGGCCCTTTCTCCTGTGGAACACAGCTGAAAGGGGGGGGTATGTGTGCTTGAGACAGACCCAGCTGTGTGCACACACTCAGTGGGGGGTGCAAGGAGAACTGTATACTGTGTGTGTGTGGCACTTGGTGGGGCTGGCAGCCTGTCCTGTGTGTGTGTGGCCTGCTGGTAGGGCTTGACGGGGGTTGGGAGCCTGTCGGTGCAGCAGTGCGTGCAAAGAGCCCATGTGTCCCCTCGTACCTGCACCCCCTCCAAGCCCCAGGGTCCCTATGCCCCTGCCCAGGCAGCTGCTGGTGCTTTTTCCCACTGCAGCACGGCCTCGCTGCCAGGGGAGGGCAGCACGGCCCCGGGGAAGGCAGAGCTCATCTTGGATCCCTGTCCCGCAGGGATCTCTGCAGCCCCACCACTCTTGAGTCACTATCCGGGCAGCCTGCAGTGTACTTGCACCCATTGCATAGCCCAGCTCTACCCTACCCCCAGCCCCTGCACCACTTTTGGGGTGACCCAGGCATCCTGCCCTGGCCCTGACGCTGTGACATGTGACAAAGCACCTTATCAATGCTCTTGGCCACAGCAGCATCAGTGCCCAGCCCCACTGCCTGCCCCGCTGCAGAGTCCCTGGCTGGGCTGGACAAAACTCCTTGCCCAGCCCCTACTTGGCGTGTGGCTCGAGGTGGCGGTGATGGTCGCGGGGCCGTGTGCCCCGGCGGGGATGGCACAGGCGGGAGGGCACCCCACTGCCCCTCCTCAGAGCGTGGGCACGCCAGGCTGCAGCGATGTTCTCTACCTGTGGGCATGGGGGCATCAGCATTGCCTCAGTGTGGTCCTCCTCAGCCCATCCCACAGCACCCTCCAGCCCTGGAGGTCAGTCAGGGGACACTAAGAACAGGCAGCAGCTCACCGGGATGAGGAGGTCCTGCTGGTTGTGGCTCTCCAGTGTCACCAGTTCGCTGGGTGTCAGCAAGGGCAGACGCAGCTCCCTCACTGGCAGGGCAGCCACCTCTGGCACCGGACGCTCCAGGACAGCCTGTCAGAGATCGGGATGTGAGGGATGAGGCTGGTGATGTCCTGGGCGCCTGGGGAGGCAGGGGTCTGGGGGGAGTGACACAGATTCTGTGTGCATCACAGAGCCCTGGGCTCAGGGACAGGGTGCCTACACTCCCAGCCTGGGCTGGTGGGGGCCCAGGCACCCCTGGGTGGTCCTTGCTGCGTGACACTCACCGAGCTGACGTGTGCCCACTCCCGCACCGCCTGCACCAGCTCCAGCTCATCCACGGCCAGGCGGTCACTGCGCAGCACCCGCGCCAGCACCACGTCAGAGAGCTCACGGAAGCCCTGGGTCTGCACCACTGCCTGCCAGCACACCACAACACCAGGGTGCTGGAACCAGGACCCCACACAACCACCACCCCCATCCATCAGACACATCCTGGTGCCATCCCTGCCTGGCATTCCAGCATCCCCCAACACAAAATCCAAGCCTCTGGCACTCCAGTAACCCCCAGCCTGCCTCTGCCAGTCACCCAGCATCTTCTCTCCAAGTACCATTTGGTCCTCTCCCAGCCTCCAGCCATCCTGTCCTTGCCTCATGCAGTGTTCTCCATGCCACGTGCCCCCATGCCCTGGGGTACCCCACACCATGCTCCCCCATCACCTGCCACCGTACCGCGGTGCAGCCCTCGATGAAGGTCAGGCAGTGCTGCTGGAGGTCCACCTGCCCATAGGTCACCGCAGCCTGTGAGACAACACAGACACCTGCAAGGGGGTTCAGGGCAGGAGGGACTCCCTGCCAAAGCCCTACAGAAACATGGGCACTGTCAGGGGCACAGGTGAGGCACACATCCCTCTGGGTTGGCTACCATGGCAGAGTGTGGGGAGGAAGGGGCACCAAGGCCCCCCCTCTTTTTCTGGCCTGCCCAAGATCAAATGTTTGGTGGCTCTAATGCCCACAATGGTCACCCAGCCCCACTCTAAGCAGATGTGTGATTTTCCACCTCTGCTCAGGCACCTCACCGAGCCCACAGTGTGCAAGAAGCCCTGGTGCTGTTCTCACAAGGTAACACCACAGGCACATGAAACCACCGGTCCCCAGAGCTCCTTGTGTGGGCACAGGATCAGCTTAGAGCCTCCCACAAGCATCCCATATGCCTGGTGCCAGCCTCAGCCTGACCCACAGCTGCCATCCCCCGCTGCAGCAGGAATTTGGGGTTGCTCTCATGTTCTCCCAGCCCTACTGAGCAATGCTCATCCCAGGGCTGCACTGCCCATCAGGTTACCAGGAGGGCACGACCCCATCCCCCCACAGCAGACCCTGTGTGTGGGGTACTCGGGACCGGCACAGGCAGGGTGAACATCATGTCCCCCTCCACCACAGCAGGGGACCAGTGCTGACGTAAGTGGGGAGGGCAGACAAGCTGTTTTCTTCAGGTTTGTTTTGTTCTGGGGTTTTGGGGTTTCTTGTTTTGTTTCTTCTGGGCCAATTTTAGCTCCATTTGTCGCAGTGGTCTGGCACCACATCTGGCTGGGGCTCTGTGTTCTAGGGCAGGCACCTCACCCCAAGATTGTTTCAGCTTGTGGGAGATTAAACAAATACCCCTTCTCTGCAAAGCAGCCTTGGTCCCACCAAGTAGCATGGCAAGGACCACTAGGACCTTTGCAAGGCTATTTTTAGGTGCTTCAACTCTCAGCAGGGGTTTTGGGACTGGCTCCCCAAAACCCAGTGCCTCCCACTTTCATGCAGATGATGACAAAGCCCTGGCACTGTGGAGTTCTGGCCAGTCCTGCTCAGGCTGACAGAGAAGACACTTCTCTGCCAGGATCTGGTGGCCCACTGTACAATCCCAGTGCTCTGGGAGTTGGCAAGACAGCTGCTGGGCCAAGGGTGAGTGGGAAATCCTGCCCCATTGTCCAGTGAGAACAGAAGGGTCAAGTCTGTTCCTGCCCCAGAATTGTACAGGTTATTTTTAAGCCTTTGTGACCCCACTGGCGTGACTCTTACCTGCAGAGCCTCGCAGACCTGCTCCACACTCAGCGTGTCCTTGATGAACTTGACACAGAGCTGTAAGGCAGACAGGGAGAGGGTGGGCAGAGCGAGGGACACAACTTTGCCATGCCCCCACAAAACTCTCAGCATCCCCTGAGCCCCCAGAACATGGAATGTGGGGCAGAGGCACCTTCAGCCCCCCAGGATTTCATAAGCATTGGCCTGTGGCACGAGGCCTTGCAGAGTGGATGTGGGCAGCCAGCTTGGCCACTGATGGAGACAGGGACCAAGACTGATGTGACCAAACCCAGCCAATCTGATAGCCCCAGGTGGGTCCCTTAATCCTATAGATGCCATCCATGTTCTGCCACAGGGCACAATCCTGGTGCCAGCTGCAGTGCACTGGGTGCCCTCAGCTTTGCCCCAGCCCTGCCTGCCAGCTGTGCTCTGGCTGTGACTGCAGGGGGAACAGCATCTCCAGCTGCATCCCCTGCAAGGATGATGCAGGTGGGATGCAGCCAGACCAGCATGTTTATCATGAGTGGGAGCTCTCTCCTGCCTATCTCAGCTGCCTACCAGAGTCCCTGGGAAACCCAAGGGGATGTGACATGCAGGGAGGAGCTGTCAGCTGGGACAGAAGGGCCCTGAGTCATTGGCAGGAGGGATATGAGGTCACCCTGCAGCTGGGCACACTGACATGGTTTCACCAGCTGTCCTTGGTCAGCCCCTTTCCTTCCCACCCCTCCTCTACGCAGGTCAACCCCCTCAGGATGCATTTGCTGGGTGGTGGGTTGTGACTCATGAGAGGAGCACCAGGTCCCCTTTTTCTGCAACACCCCTTGTATCCCTTCCCTGCCCAGACAGCTGTTTGACTGCTCTGCCACATCTGGGCTTTGGCTGATCTTGTTCCCACAGGTCCCATCCCACCACTCTGGCAGACAGGAGCCCACGATTCCTCAGCTCCTGAGGTACTTTCCCAGTGTGATGGGAGGGAAGTCTGGGTGTGAGATGTCAGGTCACGTGTTCAGCCAGGCTGTAATTCAGGAATCAGAATGATGACGTGGCCTGGCTGCCCTGCCCAACACCGAGCTGCTTCAGCTCCCCAGCCCCTCCTCGTTCAGCTCCCACCCTTCCTCTGTGTCCCTGCTGCCTTCCCAAAACCTTCCCACCCGCAGCAGCGCAGCTTTGGCAGCACCACAGCTGAGGTGCTGACTGCTCCCAGCACTGGGGCTCTCTCTAACTGCATCATCCTGTCAGATGACCAGAGAGCACGTGTGGGCGAACGCACAGGGGCTTTCCTCCTGACCTTTGCTGTGCAGGAGATGTGAAACTCCGTGTCCTTCCCCGTGATTCCCCTGTGGGATTCCCGGCCACAGCTGCACCCCCTCAAGGGGGATCCCACTGGAGAGACTTTCCAGGATAGAAAAGCAGGGCCAAGGCTGTGTAATTCACCACAGTGCTTTCCTCAGAGGCACCTCCAGCTAGCAGCCATGCAGGGACCATCCTGGGGTGCTGCCCAGCCTAGGGACACTCAGGGACCACTGTCCACAGCCCAGATAGCACCGTACCTTGCACAGGTCCTGCAAGCCATACTCCACCGAAGAGGTCAGCACCTCCAGTGCCTGCAGGGAAGAGGGACCTTGTCATCATCAGTGTGTGGGGGCATGGATGGGCACAGCAGCCCAGGGTAAAGGAGTTCCTGAGTGGAGCACGCGAGATAAGGCTGCAGCATGAAGAAAAATTTAGGTCTTCTGCTGTGGTGTCCCCATTCTCACCATCCAGGGTCTGCACAGTCAGAGGTCCCAAGACATCACCTCCAATTTTGGCACACCAAGAGTCGCAAAGCACCCCTTCCCCTTCTTGTCCCTCCCACGTCCATGGTCCCCACCAGCCCCATCCCCACTCACTATGCGGTTGTTGAGGGTGACACTGTTGGTGTAGAGGAACTCAATGACGGCCAGGAAGACCTCAGGCTGCACGTTGCCCAGGATGAAGGGGCCCTGGGGTGGGACGCTGCTGGAGGAGTCCTGGCTGAGCATGCCACGGAACACCTGGCAGCGGCACGCCAGCACACAGCGGTGCGCAAACACCTTCTGCTGCTCCTGGCCCACCACGAACATCACATCGCTGCGGGGGAGAGGGGACATGAGGGACACGGTGCTGGAAAGCAAGGACACAGCCTTCCCTGGGCTGGGACAGGGCACACAGGAGTGCCTGGCACAGGGGGCAGTACCCTTTACTTTTAACCCAGGCGTTTGTCCCAACAGGGGAACAGAGGGGACCTTGTTGGTGGCTCTTTCCAGCCATTTGAATGCTGCAGGTGAGGTGAGCATGACAGGTCCCCTGGAAAGCACGGAGAGCCCAGGGTGCTGGCACCGAGCAGGGCAGAGAAAGGCCAAGGACAGCTGGAGAAAGTGACTTTCTCTTTTGGCACAGCAGAGCCAAGGAAAGCATTGCTGTCACTGGGATCAGCCTCCTTGACTCATGGGAACTGACTCATCATCTCAGGGATGTGAAGTCCCTGGCACAGCTGCCAGCAGGGCTGGCACTGGCCCAACAGGGCAGCTTGTGGCATACAGCAGAGCACAGGGACCATCCTGTTGCCCTGATCCCCTATAACCCTCCCCTCCCCAAAATGTTTCCCCAGCTCCATGGCTCCAGAAAAGGAGGGCACGATCAGGGGAAAGGAAGCAGGCAAAGGACATGGAGTCACCAGCCTGAGCACACTTGTGGCTATGGCCCATCTATCCCTTTCTTCCTTCCTCCATCCCAGCAGGCCAATGAGCAGAAGACACACCACTCAAACTCTGACTGCCATGAGGACATGCACAAACCCTCAGAGTGTCCCACAGGACACTTCTGGTGTATGTGCCTACCAGAAGGAAGGACAACTGTGTCATCCCAAGTGTCTATCACGAGACACACAGCTGGGGCAGGATGGGTGCTGTGAGCAGAGCCCAACAGGTCCTCCATGACTGCTCCTGCAAGGGGGATCATGACAAACTGCTCTGTGATTGAGGTCCACAGGTCAAGAGGGGCAAGCAAAACACAGCATGCGGGCTGTGAGATGTGGAATGCCAGCTATGATGATGGCATGCAAGGTCTGGGATGCGGGACACAGGTTGCAGGATGTGGGATGAAGAACAAAAGCTACAGAGTGCAGGCTGTAAGATACAGGCTACAGGAGAAAGGATGCAGGATGTGGGATAAAGTAGATAGATGCAGAGCACAGATTTCAGGCTGCAGGATGCAGATTGCAGGATGCTGGATAAGGGGTATGGGTTAAAAGATGTAAGCAGCAGGATATAGGCTGAGAATGACCAGGCACTGTCAGCCACTCCTCTACTGCCTGGTGCTGTGGCTGGGGAGTTTTTTTCAGGAATTTCTCTTCTGGGTGGCCAAAAATTTCAGCAGGAATGGGGATTTCCTTAGCTAGCTCTGGTGTTAGATAGGCTGGCCAGGCCTCAGCAGGAAGTGGGTGAAGAGGACCACAGCCAGGCAGGACATACCATGTGGGTGAGGGAAGCCAAGGCAGCATCTGCATCTCTGCTGTCTGCTGTGGCAAGAGGTGGCAGGAATGCCAAACCCTGTGAGAAGGGATGCTATGCCCTCTGGGGATAAAGCACCAATAAAGCCAGGTGGCAGAGGAAATGAGCTGGGAGTACGCTGCTCCTGGGGAGCTCAATGTACCCCCATTCCTGACAAGGACAAGAGCCCCAGCACAGGATTTATCCTGGGAAACTGCCTTGCCCTGTTGGCACCATGCAGGGGGACAGAGGGGGTCTGGGCACACCCGGGAACTCTCCCTCCTCCTGAGAGAGGATGGCTGTGCAGGGTGGGCCACACCGGGGCAGGCCTGGCCTCCTGTTGGCATGCGGGTGTGTGGGGAGCGCTGCACAAGCCACGTCGGCCCCACCAGCAGCCCGGGGCTCCCCGGATTCCCTGCGGGCCCCAATGGCCCCAGCCGGAGGGCTCGGGGCTGCGGAAAAGCAGCAGGAGTGTCGGGGGGAGGCGGCACGGCCCGGGCCCTCACCTGAACTGGGGGTTGTTGACCAGGGTGCGCAGGGCAGCGCTGAAGGCGGCCACGTCGCCCTGCAGCCGCGCCGAGCCGGGTCCGGCCATGGGCGGCCTCAGGGAGCGCGGCGGCGGGAAGAGGCCCGAGGATGGCGGCGGGCGATCCGGGGCTGTCGGGAGGCCGGCCAGCAAGCCAGCAGGCTGCGTCGTACGGCACGGCCCATTGCTAGGGAAACCTGGCAGGCAGCGCCGGGGCTGGAGGCCGGGCTGCCGGGGGAGCGGTGGGAGGGAGCCATGGGACAATGAGGCGTGAAGCACAGCCGCGCTGCCAAGGCAGCTCCGTCCGGCACTCACCGGATGGGGAAGCGGGGCTGATCCGCCTCTTGCGGCGAGTGGAATTCCTTGCCGTGATTCGGGGCTTGGCTCTGGCACGCCTGGCACGGGGACGGTGCGGTCCGAGCTGGCGGCTTTGCTGCGGAGCAGAGATGGGGGTGAAGGGAGGCTGGCAGCTGGGATTTTGGAAAAGGCAGCACACGCACGGACACCACCCTCACCTCCACCTGCACAGCCCCCATGGAAAGCCGCTGGGCATGGCTGAGTCCCCAGCAGCAGCACTGGAGCAGACTGGAGCCCAGCGGGGAGATTTGTCCCCAGAAATGGGGGAAGCCTTCTCTCCTGCGATGCCCCAGGCCAGAGCCCTGCAGCTCTCATGTCTGCTTAGGGTACAGGCGCTTGCAGGCAGAAAAAAGCATCACCAGCCTCACAGAAAGTCTTGGGTGGGAAGGGACCATTTACTTCCAACCCCCATGCCGTGGGCAGGGATGCCACCCACTAGATCAACCCCCTAAAGCAACCGCTCACCTAAGCCCAAACCAAGTGCTGTGCCCTTCTGCAACCCTTGGCTGGCCCCAAGCAGCCCAAGGAGGGGATGACCCATGGAGGGATCCACCCTTGCTTGTCAGTGGGTGGTGCAAGGGAAGGCAGGAATGGGGCACAGAGCCGAGGCAGCACCCCAAGGGAAGGGGTCCAGCTGGCAGTGTGCTTGGCAGCACTAGTCAGAGGCAGGCTATAAATACCTCTAACTGGAGATAGAAACACAAATGCCATCTCCACTTTCCTCAAATAGCTCGGCAGCCAAGCCAGACAAAGGCACATTGATGGAACAGCCGTGTCGTACCAGCTGGGCTGGGCTCCACTGGCAGAGAGAAACTCCAGCAGGGTCAGGAGCCCCCAGGGACCTGCTCATCCCCAGGCATTACAGCAGCAGGGTCCCTGGCACATGCCACAGCTGTGCTCCATCCAGTCCCTGCAAGTGTTCAAGGCTGGGTTGGATAGGGCTCTGAGCACTCTGGTCTAGGGGTGACATCCCTGCCCATTGCAGGTGATGTGGAACTAGATGATCTCTAAGGTCCTTTCCAACACAACCCACTGTGTGATTATATGATTCAGTGGGTGCCCACCCACACACACTCTCTCTTGGTGCAGTGGGGCATAAGTAGCCTAAGGATGCAAATGTCTGAGCAAAATCAAGCTGTTGGAGGGCCCAGCCCCAGTGCAGCCCACAGTCAGGGCACAAAGTAGTGGTCACAGGGGCTACTCTCCACCCCCTGCTCTTCTCTTGCACATCCAACACCAGCCTGCATTTTTCAGGGCTGGCAGGGAGCTGCCAGGGAGATTGGAGGGTACATGGCTGGAGTAACCACATGCCTGTGCCGACACAGCTGAAAATGCAGAGGGCAGGAGTGAAGGGGAATGAACAGAGCTGTCCAGGGACCAGGAAACAAGGAGTTACAGAAGCCATGCCCCAGAACAGCCCTGGCGACCTACAGTGTCACGTAGCAACATTTCACCTTCCAGGAGCACAACAGGTTTGGCCCGGCTCACAGCAACTTGCAAGATAAAGATTGGTCCTGGGCAGTGATATCTACAAGAGACAAGTCCCCTGGGTTTATTCTGGAAGGACAGTAGTGGAACTTAGGGTAAGTGTGGGATGCAGACCAAATACTGGGGAAAAAGTCACTCACCTGTGCTGGGGGAAGTTCTGGGGATGGGAGAGCAGAAAGCTGTGCGGACAATGTGTTACCACACTGGATCAGCCCCCACTGGCTGAGTCTGATGGGCATGGAGGCACTGGAGAAGTGAAGACAGCTGCCATGGATCTCCCAGCCCCTCTGCATCTCATCTCTTTGAGACTCACATGCCAGAAGGCATGGGATTTGCCGAGGGCAGGGAGAAGTGAGGCATGGACAGCCTAAAGGACACCTGCCTCACCTAACACCCAGGTACATCTCCTTTGCAGGCCACCCCATGGCTGAGCAGCCCGTCCCAGAGATAGCCCTGCTAGCCCAGGTGCTGGCTGCAGGCAGCACTGAGGCCCCTGCACTCCGCAGTAGCCGCCGTGGGTCCCAGCCCGCAGCCCCAGCCCGGGGCCCTGAGGACAGCAGAGCTCCCCCTCTGCTCTCCCGCCGCAACTCCATCCTCAGCCGCCGCAGCTCCTTCGGCATGGGCCCGGGGAGCAGGCGGCCCTCCTGGATGCTCCACAGACGTGTCAGCTTCTCTGGGCTCCCCATTTTCCAACCCATCCTCAAGACCCGCCTTGAAAACACTTACAGGATAGGGCCGGACAAAGGCTGCAGGTTTGATGCGGAGCGGGTGCAGCGGGTGCTGGAGGGGACCCTGGCCTGTGCCTTGGGGACCACAGTGTACAGTGCCCAGGGCAGTGCCCCTCTAGCCCTGAGCCTGACTGAGCTGCTGCAGAACCAGGCCAAGGAGGTGGTGCCACCCCGCTACAAGCTGGTCTGCCACGTGGTGCTGGGCCAGCAGGGCCAGCAGGGCCTCTTGGTGGCCAGCCGGGGACTGTGGGACCCTGAGACCGACAGCTTTGCCTCTGCCACCTTCTCCAACGCCTCCCTCTTTGCTGTAGCCACAGTGTATGGGGTCTACTTCGAGTAGCACATGCCTCTGTGTCCACCCAGTCTTGTAGAGCTGTAGGGAGAGAGCAGCTGAAATAAAGAGGTTTTGTCCATCTGTGTGTCATACCTGGAATCTTGGGCCAGGGTGCATGCAGGGAGCAAGATATGGGTGCTCACTCCAGCCTCAGCTCACACCCACGCTGCAGTTCCCAGTACTATGGCTTGCAAAAAGACCCAAGCGGCAGCAAACACAACAAAAGGCTGGATTTCCCTGGAACAGGCAACTGCCCAAGGCTGTTGGAGCAGCCCAGGCTGCTTCCCACAGCACAAGCTGCTCCCAGGCAGATTGATTACACAGATCACCTTCAAAGCAAGCTCACAGAGCTCTTTCCTGGCTTCATGCCCAGCTCATATCCCATCACACGAGATGTCAGTGCAAGGGCCCAGGCAACCCCTCCACCACTTGGGTCATAGCTCCTGCCTTCTGCAGCTCAGCAGAGTCAGGGGAGAAGCTGGGTTGGGTCCAAGTGCTGAAAGGACTGGGAATGCATTTGGCAGCAGCAAGGAGAAGTTTGAGGCAGCTCCAAGGCTGCACCAGCATAAGAGCTAACTCTGTCCTTTGTGCCAGTCCCATGAAAGCAGTGGAGGTACCACATGGGCTCCTCATAGCCATCCTGCCTCCCTGACCTTATCCCCCAGCACCAGTCAGTGGCAAGAAGGGTCATCCCCAACAGGCAGAAGCAGCTCTGGAGCAAGATTGATGCTGAAGCTCCTTTTATGACTCCAGTTTCAAATAAGGCAGACATAGTTTGCCCTTACACAAATAAGTTTTTATTGAGGCGAGTCAGGGGGAGGGGAACTGCACAAGGACAGACCAACAGGAAAATAAATAATTCCATATAAATAAGATACATAAATAGTCCCACATGGCAGAGACTGCCTTGAAATAAGAAACAACCCTGGGTCCCAACAAAATGAGGGCTTTTCCAGGCAAGTCCTCAGATCCCATGTCCCACCCTTTATCAAACCTCAGGTTGTACCAGACAATTCACAATTTGGGAAGAGACCGGGCACAGTTGGGCCCAGCACAGCTCCCTCCTTAGTGTAACAGCTGTGGAGTGACACACGCCAGCCCACAGAGCCCCTGGCAGGGCAGGCAGCACCCTTCACCCCTGCCCACTCCTGGGAAGGGGTTTTCCTATCCCACAGCACCCAAAGTTTGAGATCAAGGCTGTGGCAGCCATCTCCAGGCCATGCAGAGGGTCTGTGCAACTGACGCATCAGCTGGGGCAGGGGAGCCTGAGCCTCCACCACAAGTAGTTGCCAGCCTCAAACAAGGCCCTGCCAGCCCCAACCCAGCTGCAGGACACTCACCCACCACCACCTCCTTGTAACACCCCAGTCCATTCCATCAAGACCAGCACCACAAGGGCAGGGGATGCCAGGGGGAAGACAGCGATTGCCCAGAGCCAGGGAGCAGCAAGGATATCCAGACCCGCTGCTGTAACCACATCCACATGTCTTAGTCCAGAGCCCAGCTGAGCACCAGGATACACAGTGCCCAAGGGGATAGCCAGCACCACATCATCCCTCCCATCCCATGGGAGGGCAGGGGGAAACCTCCAAGTCCAGACAGGGTCCCCCGAGGTCCCAGGCTAGGCCTCAGCCCATTCTTGGAGAAGCTTGAGGATGTATCTGAGGCGGTGGTGGAGCTCAGGAGAGCAGCCCAGCTCCTGGAGGCTGCACAGCTTGTAAGTGTAAGAGTTGCGCTCCCGGTTGATGTAGGTGACAAGGCAGGAGTGGTCAGGCTTGCTAATGATCACCTTGGTGTGGTCGTTGTAGAAATTCACCTAGGAGACAGGTTGGGCTTGGTTTAAGCCATGCTTCCCACAGCATGTCGGGAGCCAGGATGGAGCCACATTTCCTGCCTCAACCCGTTCCTCCTCCCCAACCTGCCTGGGAGCATCCCAGCCCATGCCCCATGGCAGGAATGAGCCAGCACAGGGGCAGGCACAAGCATCCAGCTGAAGTGCTTTCTCTCCATGGGCTGGGGAAGCTGCAACCAGCAGCTCCAGGCGCTGGAGCAGCATCCTGCACCCACAGCTGTTTTCACAGCTGGATTTTCCAATTGGGCTGTGGCAGACAAGATCCAACACAGACCAGAAGGCCACCATCTGGCCTCCTCTTCACAAGGGT